ATCTAATCGAGTTCAAGGAAATATAATAGAGATAAATGAACCAAGTAAAAATGGAAACAAAAAAATAAATAAATTAAAGGAATCATATGGCAGATTTACCCACAAAGATATTTGCTTTGATGTTGTCCCTGTTGATAGATATCTGAAAATCATTGCTCTCCTTGAGCCTTAAGAAAACATCCAGCAAATCTTCCTCCAATGGCTCATCCACTCTTGTTCTTATTCTGTCTGCTTCATGCTCTTGGATAATTCCCTCAAGAATAAAATCAATTTTTTTATGCATTTTAATTAATTTTTTATCCAATCCAAATAAGAAATGAATTAATTTCATTGAAGGAAAAATATCAGCAAAATTAAAAACTCCTGCACATGATGCTGATTCTCTTATGAGCAATATTAGTTTTTCTTGATCTTTGCATCTTCTCCCAACAGCAGCTCTACACACAATAGAACTTTGAGCTGATAAAACTTTTTCAGTCAGATTTATAGGCTGTCCTAAACTGGATTGAATCGACAATATGAGTCGAGAAATTTCTTCCTCCATTACACTGTAATATGACTGAACTTTCTTTGGACTCAAAAGTTCCAAAATACATAGTTTTCTCATCTGTCTCCAGTTTTCGCCATAGTGTGAACCTCCAATGGCCGAAAAGTTGTAAAATATGATCTTGTTGAGCATCAAATCTGGCCTGTCTGAAAATGCAAGTCCATTTGTTTGTAAAATTTCTTGGGCTATTTGAGGAGATGATATTACAACTGTTGAAAGTTCACCAATTTGTAGGTGCATTATAGGACCATATTTTTGTGCTAAGTTGTTGAGAGAATGATGGGGTAATGAACCTATCAGCTGATGCAAGTTTCCAATAAGAGGGATTTTCCATGGACCTGGAGGATATTTTGAAGGAAATATGAATCTTTTGCAGTTGTTGATTAGCAAGAACAGGAAGGAAAATGCACCGAGGGAAAAGGAAAATGGGATTTCCATTGAAGGGAAAATGAGATTTTGGAGGAATATCGTGGATATTAATATATAGGTAATTAGCACATAATGTCCCCACATTTCATTATTATTATGGAAAACGTTCATATCTTTTATTTTTTGACATTTTCACTCTTATTTTCACATTTCATGGTTCAAAATGTCATTTTCATCCATTTTCTCAATTAAAAATTGTGAAATGATGAAAATACTATTTCCATTAAATAAAACAAAAGAAAAAAGGCAAAAACTAATTACAATCATAGTCCCAATTTTTTTTGAAAAGCGCAAATGAATCTCAAATAAATTATTAAAAGGATAATTAGTACTTGAGTGTGTTTGGTAAAGATTAAAATCGGATTAAAATTGAAAAACTAGCCGTTATTGTTGACTTTTATTAGACCAGTGGGACCCAATAACGACTATATTTTCAATTTTAATTTATCCCAAACAAGCAATTAATGTCCCTATCTTTCACCTTTATTGCGAAAAACGTTCCTACCTTTCATTTTTTGGCATTTTTACTCTTAATTATATATTTGATTGTACAAACCATCATTTCCATTCATTTTCATCCAATTTCTCAATAAATTACAAACAATTTCTCGAAAAGTTCTCCCTCTTTTCGCTCTCATTTCTCTTCCTCTCTTTCGTTTCCATCTTCTTATACGATTCTAATTATTGTTTTGTACATTCTGCGCCGCCTATGATTGAAGGGTGTCTATAATTGAAGGCACGTTGACCGTAAAATATAAATAAATTATTTTTCTCCAACTATTTAAACTTTAAAAAAGATAATTTTCAAGACTTTCAATGCCACTCTACGAGTGCATTTTCAAATGGGGATATATTTTAGGATTTTTCTACTTGTACAGATCTGTTTCTTTTGTATTTTTTATCAATATTCAAAACAACCATGCTACTTGTACAAAAAAAGTTTGACAAAAAAGTTGACAAACCCTCACAATGAGGGGGGGCTACTTTTTATTATAAATTTTTTATTCACGTGGGGCCGGCTATCATGTGCGGGTTTGTCT